ACCAGCAACACTGACATTTTAACCCAAACATTAAATTGTGAAAGTACAGAGAAAAACTACTGTCCTGCATCAGTAATTTAGTCTACATTTATTTATTTTTAAATTAATTTTAATGTTATTTAAAAAAAAATCATCATACAGGTCAAAGTTGTATCCAACCGGAAGTGTGTCACTCACTTCATCATGAGGCTTATAAATGTACCGAGTTTGTCAGGTTGTTTCTGATCAGATCGTGTTGCCTCAGAATTCAGAGTCAGCTGTGAATTCCAGGAGGCTGAATTCCAGCATCTGCAGATGGGTGTATCCACTGCCTGGCCCAAGGTAGTGATGAATAATTTCCTGGCTGAAACGAGGCAGTGTATAGACTGGCATCTACAGAGCTCAAGGCCAAGTCCTATGATGGACAGACAGAGGGAGTATATGGAAACTATTCACACAAACTTGTGAATAGTGAAGACAATATTTTGATATAGTTCGTAATACATAATCCACATTAGTCAACATATAGTCAAATTTGTAACTGCCTTAATTGCTGTTTTTATTGGGACCACCATACTGTATATTCTGTGCTACTCATTCATACATTATATCTTGTAATGAAACACTTTAAAATGCATCTCTAACATGACCTTTAGCAGCTACTTAACATTGTAAAGTTGTCTTATACTTGATTACAAACCTCTCATTGTGTGTTACAGAATGAACTTGTTTTTTTTGTGTAGTCTGTCTAAAATTCCATTTAATTTTACATGAAGTGGAATAATCTCGATTCTGTTCTGTGTGTGATGGCAAGAACCATGAGATAATTTATCAGATGTTAAATAATCTTAATAACAAAATATTATAGATATAGAAATGGCCGACATAGAAACAGGATGAATGGAGGAGTGGATGGATTGATGCTGAATATGAAGTGGATGAGATCAGACCACTGAGCCGACCAATGTGGCTAGTGGACCATGTCCACGTAATGTGTCGTCAAAATGATTTCTAAGTGAGCAAGTGCTTGTTTGTTTTGTGTCAGCCACAAGGCAAAGGAAGGCTGATGTGACTGAGCCTGTACCCTGTATATGTGTGCAGACGTGCACGTTGTCATGTGTTGCAAACAGCACGTCATGTGGTGATTTGGAAAGCAGCTGGTGAGACGAGTGCTGACTCATCGCTGTGGGACCGGGCATTGGGGGGAGCGTATATGTGTGTGTTTGACTGTGTGAGCGTGAGTGAGCATGAGAGCCCTCTTGTGCATATTTTGCACCCTGGTATGACTTTTAATGCCCCAGTCTCCCTGCTAAGTTTTCTGATCATATTCCGGTCTCAATTCTGCTGTCAGCTACATTCATGGCTTGCCCTTTTTTTTATTACTCCTGTGTGAACATGCTAAAGTAGCATCTGCTGCTCTTGTCAAAGCTAAAGCCCAATATCCTTCAAAACCTGTCATGTCTTCCATCTTTATATTACAGTTTATGGTACAGGAAGAGCTGAAGAGCAGAGAGTAGAGATTCGAACAGTCGAAGGCTCAGTCTGCCGTTTGCTTGGTGTTGGTTTCTAATTAGCTGTCAAACCTGGAGTGGAAATTTGAAAGAGCACAGGAGGCAGAAAGTGAGAAAAGAGGTGACGCTGAACAATGTTTTCTTTTTTTGCACGGCTGCTGTTACAGTAACAGCATCCATAAAGAGAAATAGAATGCCAATAAGACATCTTCATAATGTGTTAAAGATACAAGGAAATTCTCTTCTCTCTCACTGAAAAACAAGCCATTGTTAGCGACACAGTCTGTGGGGTTTGACTGACCACAGAGGCCTGGATGTAAATGTCTTTGTGCTCATCACGACTCGTTCTCACAGTCAACTTGTCCTTTTTTTCTGACAGCTGTCATTCTGGTCCCATGTGGTAGAAAAAGAAATGATCTGGAGGGGCTGTATGTGACATCGCAAATGTCAGAGTCATTTGTTGTGGACACTTTTCTGAGTTTCTCCTGCAAGCCCCAAAGTGAAAACTCTAGACCAGAGAATCTCCTGCTGCGTTCTTATATCAGAGGCTTGAATTAAATAAATTAGCATATTAGCTTAAAGCAATTTGTGAAATTTAAATTGAATTACTTTAGTTTTTACTTAACTTTTTAACTCTAGTTTATCCCCCAATATTTTCACCTCTTCTATTTTCCACTCAGAAGGGGTATTATGTTGATCCTCCAATGTTTTTATGTGGCTACTGGGAAGTCTTTGTTTGAGTCTCTTTAACAATGCTACAACTTCCTGCTAAAGTGAAGTCTATACAGTACACATACCGTTATCATCGTGCTGTCAGCCTATCCTGTTCTCACATCAACAAACACATCCTGTTAATGTGCATCTCCTCCTCCTATTGTTTTCTTGGTATTGTGTACAGGTGTCTACAGAGATATAGTTACTCTGCAGTCCCCAGACAGAGAGCTAAGATTTCAGAGCCCGCAAACGCGTCATGTTTCTGGTGTTGCTTCCCTTTAAGTGCATATTGACGCTGCTTAGGTTGCACACAGGATACAACTACTTTTGGCAAGTAGACATTTCCTGCACTGGGTATGGTTGAGGTGTGTAAAGGCATAAACAAAATGCATGTCTTTTCACTATGCTGTTCTTATAGCATTTGTTGTAGCAGGAGTTTTCAAAGTCTCAGACTGTGGGCCTCCCCTCAGACAAAACCCTGCATCTACTTCAGTTTACTTTTTTAGTTTTACTCAATTCCTGGAAGCACATATATTTAGGCTAATATATGTGATGATAACTTAGGTAAAATTCCTTCACTTCCTTTCACCAAGCTCCCTGTGAGACTGTGAGGAGCTGAGAAATGCCCAGTCATCATGCTGCATGTCTGCAGCCAATTTTCTCTCACACACACACACACACACACACACACACACACACACACACACACACACACACACACACACACACAAGCTCTTAAATGCTTAAGGCTGCTGTGGTATGTCTGTGCCAACATGACACATACCATACCAGTCCACCAGCTCAGGGTTCATTTTATAAATCTTGCATCCAGGGTCAAAGCAAAGAAGTTATAATCCCAGGATGCTTGCAACAGGTTACATTTACATACACCAAGTTGACCCCGTCTCAAAACAAGGGAGAAAAAGTCAATACAATGCACTCCATATACAATATTTTTCTGCTGTTGTGAAACCTGTTGCTGACAGTCAGATGTGCTTGCTTTACCATGTCGGCTGTGCAGTCATTTAACAGTGAAACAATATTAAAGACACATAAATTAGGATGTTTGTGTGAGTATTCAGAGCCCGTCCTCTGCAGTCATTTTCTAGCTGTTCTTCAGTGAGTAAAGAAACGTGTCACTTCGGTCTGGAGTGATCATTTAGTGCAGGTATAGTGGTGTACTGTATATGTTACTATAGGAGTTTTGTGTGTGAATGTCCAACACCATGCATAGATAATTGAACTCATAATGTTGCAAGTAAACAGAAGCTTGTGTGGCTCTAACCCATTGGCCCCTCTCTCACATGTCACAGATAAATATCAGGCCTCTGGCTGTGGGGGGAATCTAGGCCATTATTGAACTTGTGGGCAGAGAGTAACACCATCTTTTATTTCCCCACTCCTCTTTCTTCTTAATTTCCTTCATTAAATGATGGATGATGGAAGACAAAGGGTAAACGCCTCGCCACATTATTTGTCTTTCTTTTTGCTCTCAATCCTGCCTCCCTCCCCTCCTCACTATTAGCAGTCCTGGCCTGGCAGGCTGACAGGTCCTGCTGCTGTTTGCCTGGACCAGGAGCAGCCTACAGCATGCTTGGCAAAGGAAACCAAGCTCTGTAATTTGGCTCAGCTCTACCGCCCTGCACCCTTCGTCTCACCCCCTCCTGCCCTCTCTCTCTGTCTCACTCTCATCACTGTCGGGCTCCTGGTCGGTCTGAGGTCACAAGATGGAACAGTTGACACGGGCCAGCTGGCACACTAACTGTGAAAGAAAGGAGAGACAATGACACTGCTGACCACTGTGCAGTTGACCACTCTAACACACACACACATTGTACAGCAGCTGCCCCCTCTCAGGCCCTGTCTGTAGCTTTTATTCCCGCTGCGTGGCTGCCGTCTCTTTTTGACATGGGTAATGGGAATAGCTGTCAGGGGAGCAGCAGACTGCATCAGCTGCTAAAGTCACGCTGACTCATGGCTTAAAATGCTGTGAGGCTGATCGCCAGCTAACATGGTGATTGTTGTACTGCATTTTTCCTGACAAAACTGTTGATTCATAAATTGGAGGGGTACTCTTTAATCACGTGCTAATTAAAAAGCTTGTGAAAAAGACATGTGTTTATTCTGCTTTTAAAAGAAGACACTGTTGTAGTAGACCTTTGTGCAGGCAGTGAGTAAACGCATTCTCTGATGGCTCTTTATTTCGGTTTCCTCCCTCCAAACATCGGTCTGATCTGCAGCTTCATTCAGGAGTGTGGTGCTTTGTGTCAAAAGGTCGTGGCTGCAGTGTAGGTATACAGGTGGTTAATGAGAGCGCTCGCTTAACAGCATTAGAGTGGACTTAGCCTGATCCATGACCTGGCTATGGGATACGTAAGGTGCCTGACATAAAGGTCTGGCACATTAGAGGAGGACGAGAGGAGAGAGTCAGAGGACTGAAGTGTGCGGATGACAAAGAGAAAGAAAGGGGGAGGGAGGAAGAAAAGGAAGAGCCCCAGACATAGACCACAAAGTGAGTGAGTTGAGTGAATAGAGATGTTTTTTACAGAGGAGGAAGACACTAGGAGACCAAGGTTGTACACAAGATGGATTGCACTTCTGTAGAAGAGATTAAACTTTCATTTCTTGAAAAGCTTTATATTTTCAAAGACCATGGAGGGTATACTATTATCCAGGAAATATCATTTCATTTTATAATTTTCAGATTATAAAATGAAAGGGTTTTTGTATGCTTCAACTAAAAATTATTTTCTCAGAAAATATACATTGAACTGTTAAATCATATAAATCCTCACATTTGAGCAGCTGAAATGAAAAAAAATGCTATTTTTATTCAAAAACGATTCGAATAATTCATTTATTCTTTAAGTATTTTCTGTGCAAATGTTTCAGCTTTATAATTAGAATGATATGTTTTATGTGCTTTTGTGCAGTTGTTTTTCAGAATCTTAGTTTTATGCATTACCGTCTGATACTGAAACCCTGTTACTCAATTTGATTTTGATGTGACTTTCATTTATATTTCAAACTTCTTCTTCTACTTTTGTGCAGTAGAATTTCAACTTCCTGAAAGACACTGGACGTGTCCTCCCTGATGACCAAAGTTTTGACAGACAGATAGAAAGAGAGAGACAGACAGATGGACAGAGAGAGAGACAGATAGAGAGAGACTGACAGGTAGAGAGACAGAGAGCCAAGCAAACCAACAGACAGGTGGCTGGCTGTGGGAAAGACTGGATACCTACTGTCTGAGCCTGTAGTTTGTGAGCTGACGTGGCGTTTCAATATATTTTGTGCTAGACCATTTCCATTTTTTTCAATGAGGTGGAAGTGTACGTCACACTAACCTGTGCTTTACATTGGTCTTGAATTTCATTCATTACCTGTATGGTCTTAAAAAGGTCTTCAAAAGTTTTAAATTTAACTTCTTGAAACCTGCCAAAATCTTCTGTGTGGTGAAACACTCCCACCTACTGCCTGATGTCGTAATCCCACAACATAGGCATATGGTGTTGGTGCATTGGTGTTGTGTGAATCCTCCCTAATGCTGCTGCATTCAGACACCTCTCAGTGCTGTATAGACAGGTGCTGATATCATATTCTGTCTCTCAGTGGTATAATGAAAACCAGTCCACATGGCCTGTTTTTGGCCATAATCTAAATAAAATTTTACAACCTTGTGCCTCTTCTGCAAAACCTTACCTGACTTCCAATGAATGTGATGAATAGAACAACTCTGTTTTGCTTGATATGACACATGATAGAGAGAGATTTGACAAACAGGTCTTATGAATGAGCAGAATATAATTCTTCTAATTCCTTGAAACATATTTTCTGCCACAGACCAGACCTTTAACCTACTCTAAGACTTGTTATTATGAAGTGGAGCTGCAGTGTGAGAGCAGCAGCTGGTCTGGAAACACAGACATAGGAAGACAAGTGAAGTCATTGTACTTGATCATAACTTGTGATTTCTTTCTGTGTTTCTCTGCCAACCCTCCCCTCTCACAATACTTTCACTTTATCAGTTCCTTGGCATAGATTCATCAGACTTTCTTCATCTTTTTTTAATGTGGCCCTGTCTTGTTTTCTGTAGGAGCAGATCCATGTACCCATATATCACCCAACACCCAGTCAAGCCAGACTGGCCACTCAGCTGACAGAGGAGGAGCAGGTCCGCATCGCTCAGCGCATCGGGCTCATACAGCACCTCCCGAAGGGCGTGTATGACCTGGGGCGGGGCGGCTCAGAGAAGAAGATCAGAGAGTGAGTAGAAACCCATCAGAAGAAGCAGAGGAAGTAAACTTTGTTCAGAGCAACAGGGTGGCACGGTCAAGAGAAATACTACTTCAAATCATGTTTGCTCTTTTTTGAGTTATCACTTTGACGATGGGACAACAGCACAGTGATATCACAGGATGTTGCTTTGTTTGTTTCCCTGTTGTTGTGAACACATCTGAATAAGAGAATCTCCTGCTGCGTTCTTCATATGTAAAAGTCAAACTCCATAAAATGTCCGGACCAAATGTTCTGCACATTTTCACATTAACAGTATTTGATTGTTCTCTTTGTTTTACGTTGTTCATTTCCAGTCCACTCATAGTAGAGTGCTAATTTAATGGGAAATAGTCATTGTCATTGTTTCTGTTTCCTCTGCAGGTGCGTCATCTGTATGATGGACTTCGTGTACGGAGACCCCATCCGGTTCCTGCCCTGCATGCACATCTACCACATGGACTGTATAGACGACTGGCTGATGAGGTCCTTCACCTGCCCCTCCTGCATGGAGCCTGTGGACGCCGCGCTGCTTTCCTCCTATGAGACCAACTGACACGCACACAAACACGCACACATGCCCACAGACGCCTGTGGACCAAACTGGACACACACACATACAGTATGCACACACTGTATCCTGGATAAGTAAGGTGGCAGTATCAAAGCGGTCACTGTAAAAGATTTATGGTGATCTCTAATGTTTGAGTGTGTGCACACATAAGCACGCATGTGTGTGTGTGTGTGCGCTCTTGTGTGTGTTTATGTATATGTGTGTGTGCATACGTGCACAAACACAAGTTCCTCACTTGGCCTGCTGGACAGGACTGCATTTGAGAAAGGATTGGAGGAATGAACCAAGTGATGATGTTCAGGACGAGCAGGAAGGGGCTGGATCGGGGAAAGAATAAAAGACGAGAAATGACAAGTGGACAATTGCAAAAAGGAAGAAATGCTACAGAGCTGTAGTTGCGTGATGTAAAGACTTCTATCGGAGTACGAACATCTGATGGACTCTGCGGAAGCCTCCAGCTGTCTGTCTGTACAGATCTCTCATGAGAAATTAAGATGGGTTGGTGGTCCAGTGTCCAAAAATCCTGTTCTGTGTTTGTTTAGTCAGTCAGCATAAGGGCTCAGTTGAACCATTGTTTCTTAACAACACAGACATTGCAGAGGGAAATACAGTCACATGCTTTAGCCATTAATGTGACAGAGAACTGTTGCCATCCAGCTTTTCACTTCCTGTGACTCTGTGTCACAGTGAGATTTCAGATTATTGGTTAAAGTACGAGTAGATCAGTGAACGAACCGTTAAAACAAATCAGAGATATTTGCACTTCTTAATCAGAACTTGTGACAGGAGTTGACCATATGCATTCAGTAATTATGTCAAAGTGAAGTATGTGATTTGTTTCACCTACATTTCCATTAGCATTGATTCGTCTCAGTGAACCAGGAGTGTAATTTATTACTGGTGACATTAACCAATCTACAGAATTAATTCTGAGAGCGATTCCCCCTTTGCTGTCCAACTCATGTAATTTTAAGAACAAGTAAAGAACAAAATTTAAAACATAAACAAGGTTACGCTCATCCCGTATGTCTACACACACAAACATACACATTTATATATATATATAAGTCTTCATGCTGTTATGTCATCATTTTCTTCACATAAATTCGACGCTTCAATCTAAACAATATCCTCGCCACATTTTACGTCTGTTGCCTCGAGTCACCCAGTTGAAGAAAGCACAAAGAAACTGTTCTGTTCTGTTTTCCTTCTCCCTGCTGTCGCCTGCAGGTGCGTCAGTGAGACTTTTGAATTATGCAGGTCATGTTTAATCATTTGAGTGCCCCCTGCTTCGCAGGCATGATAGAAATCCAACGAGAGTTTGAAAACATGCCTTTTAGTGATGTTTGTATGTGTATGTATGTGTGGGTGTATGTCTGTACAAGGCTTTGTGGCCTTTGTATGAGGTGGTAAGTCAGCACCTTAGTTTTTGCACAGTACTTTAATCTACTTAACTTTTTATGTTGTACTTTGTTCTCCATCAGTGAGGTGGAGTCTCATGGCCTATCAGCTGCTAAAACATGGAGCAGAGTTCTGTTGACTTCAAGAAAACAAGGGGTGGGGGTGATATGATACAGACAGCTCGGCTGCAGATGCTGCAGTCCTGCTGGAAGTCATTGTACGTGTAATGTTGTGAAAAAAAACAAAAGATGTGTCAAGAAAATTGTCCTTCATTGTCACAAAACTAATAAACTGTCAGTGTATCGTGGTGTTTGGATTGGGTTTCTGTCTCCTATCACCTCGCTCTCTTCCTCAGGAGGTTAGCTGCCGCCCACTTCTTTCACCTGCAGCAGTCCTGTGGTCACGCTGGTGGATGACCTGGATCTTATCAAGGCTGAGTGTATGATGGGATTCTAGGGATAAACAACGTTAAATCCTGTCTCTGTGTAAGTGTTTATCTTCCATAGTTACATTAAAAACACATCCTTGTCCTTGTGAAGACCCGACCTCTGAAGCTGAATGTTCACATATGCATAGATTTCCTGTAATGTGCTGATAATTTTTACTTTCATGTTGCGTGATCACTACACAGTGCTCTGGCTGTGTCTTTGAACCAGAGACTTATTTACTGAAAAGATCCACACTCTCACACAGGGAGGGTGAGTGAGCACTCTTTCAGGGTGGGGTTTTGTTTGTCTGTTGTGTTTTAATTACAGGATTGAACACTAAGGCTCATTCATTATTTGAATTGGGTGTGTGTGTTGTATGTTTGTTTATGGATGCTTTTATAAGCATAAATATGCAGATGCTATGTACTACAGGCAAATAATAAATAGACATTACAACCGACCATAACTAATAGTGGGTGTGATCAATTTCCCTGTCAAAGAATTTAGATTTAATTATTTCATCGTTTTTTTAATCAAACTTGTACCACAGTTTTACTATCAATAGTTGATATTTAAAGATTAATTTCTCAATCAATAACTCAGTTTGTCAGTTGTTGACATTTTTATCCAAAATATGGTAGAAATATGGTATCAATTTGTTTTTAATATATTTATGTTCATTTAGTTTTTGAACTAATCTGATAACAAATGCTTTTAAAAATTTGATCTGGGGAGGGAGTTTAATGACTTCCATTTTAATAATGGTGAAGTCAAAAACTTATGAAGAATCCAGGTCCAGGCACCCAAAAATGTAAAAGGCCTTTTTTTCAATGGGTTTGAAGCATTTGCAGTCAATACAGGTGTGCAGGGTGAAAACATGCAGTATGTTACCTGGCCTCTAGGGGCATTGCACAATAAATATGATCCTGTAATGGAAGAGACAAGGTCCTCACACATTGAAGTTTTTTTCTTGGCCTCTAGGGGCATGAATGAGCAAAATGAACAACATGGAGGAAGTCCCCCTGCTGGCCGTCAAGAACACCATTGTTTTTAAGGATGGTGCAGAAAGAGGAGAGATGAGAGCAGAATCCACAACAAACAACAGACATTGAAATGCAGAAGTTAGATTAACATATCAAACAATACTACAAATGTACTCAAGTGATATAAATATATAGTATCTACAGTGAGGAAACAGTTACAATTTCTTCATTTGTATGGATTTGGCTGCAACACTGTTTACCTTTGAAACTCAAAAAGTGTTATGTGGACTCAAACACTGCACCCACCCCTCCATCGTCATAGTTGTGAGTAGATAACGAGTAGATTTTAATATTTCGGTGAACTACCCCTTTAATTCAACTATGTTTGTTATTAAGGTTGCAGTATGAAGTGCTGTTGACCTGATCTGCTTCATATTGAGAGGAAGTGATTCTCATTTACAGGCATTAAAGAGAATGAAAATTAGAAACACATTTCAATATAATGCATTCCAGTACAACACTGACTCCAAAAATAAACATCTGAATTTAAACTTCCCAGAAATGTTCAACAAAAACTGACTATTGTCTTGTAGGTGTTGTACTTCATTGCACTAGAAGATATAAATGTACCAGATTAACACAGGGTGTATATTATCAATTAAGTGTTGGTAATTTAGAATAAAATCCAATAAAATGTTAAAGTCCAAATAAAAGGCAAGAGCAGAGTAATAGAACCATAAGAATTGTAAAACAGTGAAGTGTGTGTCTTCATCGTTTAGTCTGTAAAAGAGAAACAAAATATGAGTTATGTCACTAATTTATTCTCATGTAAAGATAAGTGACAATAATGCCAATAAATAAATACAATTGTAGACACACAATATGAAACAACTTTAGAAAAGAGTGCAGTAGTACATATTTTATTATGGCACAGGGATGCATTGAAGTAAAAGAAAAAGTAAGATTTCCTTTTGTTAATGAGGCAAAATTTAAAAATAAAAGCGATGTAACCTTCATCTAAATCATGGAATGTAAAGTCTTTTGTTGTATATTTTGTGTGTTTAGGTCATTGTGCTACACCTCCTCTCACTCCCCAACTAATCCAAACCGATCCTACCCGGTCCAGGATACAGAAGAGTAAATCCCATGTGTGGATCACTGACTTAACTCCTGCTCTTTCTTTTTCTTGATATTTTTAGCGTTCAGAAAAAGAGGCTGTCTGTCTGCTGTTGAGGAGCTTTAAGGGATTTTTGGTGCGTAAAGAGACGTTTAGGCATTATCGGCTGCGTCGGTGTCACCATGGGCAAGGTGTGATGGTGTTTATTGGCTGTGTATTAGAAAATGACCGATAATGCGTTTCGTTGCTCAGCCGTGAGTAATGAAATGTTTAAACATGTTTATTCATCCAAGCGCGACAAACGTGGAGAAAACGAAACCGCGGCCTTTAAAATGACCACAAAGTATTTTACAGACTTCACTCGCTTTGTTAATGTGCAGTGGGCCATCATTTTACATGAATATTATCGCGCAGTGCATTGACAATAAAGCTCCTGATACCGAGAGATACGCCCCAGGACTGAGTGTAAAGACAACACACTAAAATAATATCATTACTATTCTAAAAATGTCTCTCTTGTTAAAATAGCAAAAACTA